ATTAAACACATTGTTAAGTGTTAATATCATTTAAATAGAATCACCAAACCATTCTTCTTCTTTTTTTTTTTTTTTTACTAAATGTAACGCCATTCATCAGTCTGCCATATATCACATTTTGAACTCAATTATAGATCATTTTGATTTGAAAACATTTGTTTTGCACATCAACATTGGTTTTGTAAATTCAGTGAAATATCCAGTCCCATGGTAAAGGCCAATCCACTTTGTCCTCCCACTTTGTGAAAGTATTAGAAGGGATCATCTTCAGTCATTTGTTCAGTCAAATGTTTTTCTTTGTTGGTTTATTTGGATTCCTTTTATCCAGTGTGAATGTTTATGTTTTGTTGATGTTTTACAAACTAAGAGTTGATGAAATGTCTGAGTTGCTTCCATTTTCTTGCCAGTGCTGTGATGATTTGATTGTGTGAGTGACATGAACAAACATCACCATGACCTTAACCATTCTCATTGGTTTGCTCATTTACAAAAACAATGCTCTTTTCAAACATTTTTAGAAAACAAAGCTTTCCCATCGATTACAATATTTGAATTGAACCATATGATCAGTTATAAAATGTCATCTCTTTTTTTCAGGTGTATTTGTATTATTATTCATGCTTTATTATCATGTCTTTATTTGATTATTCACAATGTCTATAAGCACAATCTATATTTCTGTGGACGTGAAGCACATCATGTATTCTTTACTTCAAACCTTGATCACATTTGAATACAGTCATGTTTTGGAGAAATGAGTTGAAGCTGTGGGGACTTGGTGCAGTGAATGACAAATAGTGTGTTAACAATGGAGGAAAAGTGTCATATAAGATGTATAACCACATCATGTTTTCTTTATTCAGATTGACTGGTTGTGGTTTGTCAGAGATGAGCTGTTCCTCTCTGGCCTCAGCTCTGAAGTCCAACCCCTCACATCTCACACGCCTGAACCTGGGTTGTAACCCAGACCTGTGTGATTCAGGAGTGTCTCATCTGTGTGGTTTTCTGCAGAGTCCAGACTGTCGACTGGAGACTCTCATGTAAGTTCACTGTCTCTTACTTGTGTCATGTTTCAGAGCTTTCACTGAAGAGCTTGGCCATTCTGAATGATCAATCTATATTTGTATGGACTTTAACACATCATATTTTCTTTATTCAGATTGGAGTGGTGTGGTTTGTCAGAGATGAGCTGTTCCTCTCTGGCCTCAGCTCTGAAGTCCAACCCCTCACATCTCACATTCCTGGATCTGGATGGTAACAGTCTGAGTGAATCAGATGTGAAGGAGCTCCTGGATCTTAAACAGAGTCCTCACTGTCGACTGGAGACACTGCTGTGAGTAGTGCCTCCATGGGGTAGTCTCCTCTATTAATGTGAAACATTGCATCAGCATTGCTTTTGCTACTTGTGATGTCTGTGTTCTGGAGAATCAAACCAGACCATTTTCTACAGTTTTTTTTTTTTCAATGGTTTTAGGACATTTGTGAAACTTGGTTTAGTTTGAAGCTTTGGATTTGAACCTGTATCTGAACAGGGTCACAGGTGCTCACATAATTTGGAACATTTCTCACCAGTTCACACAGTTCTCAGGCTTTTTCTCAGAACACTTGACACAGCTCTCGTTCACAAACACACATGATCAGTGAATTCACTTTGTAATGTTTTTTTCAACATTACACCTCAACACACACATTAAATCTTGCAGAGGCAGTGTGGATGTATTTGTTGTTTTAACATTTCTCATTTTCTTCAGCATAAATATTTGTTACAGTAAAATGCTACACTCCGTCCTCAAATCCATCATGTGCACTTTTATTTATAGTAAAGTATTTTCTCAAATGTTTACTGACTTTAGATAAAAACACAGCTCTCCCAGCCCCAGATTCATGTGTCTAAAGTGTGAGCCCCATAGTCAGACAGCACTAAACCACTGCTTCTCTGTGGCCCCTGAGAGCAGGACTAAGGCTTCTGAGCTGCTCTGTCACAAGAGCACAGAAAACACATGAGCACACTCTCACAGTTTGGATGGAAAAGTAGCTTCTGAGGGACAGTTTATCAGTTTGAATGAAAACTGCTTTTTACTGTGATCACATTTTGTTTAAGAAAACTGAAACCTTGTTTAGAATTCTGTGTGAGTTTAGTAAATGACAATTTTGAATGTACAAATGTGTCCAAGAGATGAACCTGCACAGACCCTTGTCCCTGTTTGACTCATGAGTGAAATCCTTTGTTAGATTTTAGGTGCTCACAAATTGTAATTTTTCGCTGTTGTGTTTGAGTTTCTGCATTGTGTGTGACAGAATTTGGGCCAAAGTAATTTACCACATGAGAACAGAGTAGTAGTACAGACAAAAACAAGATAAATTAACTGATCATGTGTTTGTGAATGAGAGCTGTGTCAACTGTTCTGGGAAAGAGTCTGAGAACTGTGGGAACTGATGAGAAATGTTCCAAATGATGTGAGCATGTGTGGCCCTGTTCAGATACAAGTTTGAATCAAAGGATCAGACTAAACCAAATCAAATCAAAACCTAAAATTATAGGGAAAAAATGTATCTGTAGTTAAGTGTATTTTAAAGATGTCACAGTCATTTTGCTCTGAGAAAATGGGCGGGGCTAAGGGTGGAGTGGGCGTTATTTGAGCTCTGGAGCTCACTGCAGGTTCAGTCCTGGTTTAGTCCTGGTTCAGTGCTATTGTAGTGTAGGTTTTGATGGGTTGTGTTTGAAAATGAAACAGGTCTGAACAGTTGAATACAGGTTGAATTTAATAATTTCTGATCTGTTTCTCCACAGGTGGATGTGGGGACTCTGAAGATGCTGTGTGCTGTGTGCAGAACCCTGATAGAGCCGAGAAACACACACACAAACGCTGCATTTTATACAAAGAAAACAGTGTGTCATTTAAACTTCCTCCATTCCATTGGTAGAACTGTGTGTAAATATGAGCTCCATCACAATATAAAATGGACACAAACGTTTCATATTTGTTCTCAGCACAGATTAGGTTCAGAATGAATGATTCCAGTTATTCCTTTACAACTTTGTGCTGTTTGAAGTCTGTCAGTGTGGAGCAAACCCTGTAGCTCTGAGCTGAGCTCTTCCAAACACAAACAAAAGTGGTGTGGGAAACACAGAGGAGCAGAGCAAAGCAAACATTCAAGAAAAGAAAAATCAGTCTCACATCTTTGTAAAGTATTGGAGAAGTGTGTATTCTATAGTGTAGCGTGGTGTTTGATAAATGTAACTCCAGCTAAAGCCTTAATGGTCTGTAGAACTAAAGATGACAAATGTTTATTTTTTTATCTTTTAATTATTATTATTATTAAAACAAGGACAGTGCACAGAAAACCTTAAACTCAGAGAGAAAATATGCTCTGTAATCCATGTATCATTCGTTCATTCATTTTTCAATATAAAACCAAAAATAAGAAAACGAAAAAACAACAGTTTTCTTCGTTATTTGTCTCCAAAACCAAAATGAAAAAACGGATAACGATTCATTTTTTCAGTTTTCGATTTTGTGTTTAAATGAAGAATGGAAAAAAACGGATAACGGCCGTTTCCCGTTTGCGTGACTTCCGTGACTGCGATGCTGGATTTTTGCACCGCATACGGACTGAACCAGGACTGATCCAGGTCCGAGACCAGAGCGGCACTGAGACCGGGACCAGAGCGGACTAAGTCTCAGTAGCGCTCTGGTCCCGGTCTGGTCCCGGACCTGGTCCATCTGAACCAAAAGCTCTTAGTTCGGTTCGTTTTCGTTGGGGTGAAAGCTCGGAGTCCGCTCTGGTCCCAGTCTCAGTCCCGCTCTGGTCTCGGTCTGGTCTCGGACCTGGATCAGTCCCGGTTCAGTCCGTATGCGGTGCAAAATTCCGGCATCGTAGTCACAGAAGTCACGTAAACGGGAAATGGCCGTTATCCGTTTTTTCCATTCTTCATTTAAACACAAAATCGAAAACTGAAAAACCGAATCGTTATCTGTTTTTTCATTTTGGTTTTGGAGACAAATAACGAAGAAAACTGTTGTTTTTTCGTTTTCTTATTTTTGGTTTTATATTGAAAAACGAATGAACGAATGATACACGGATTCTCTGTGCTAGATTCATCTGCTTTCCATCTGCAGTCCTTTTACCCACAAGCCTCATTTTACAGGCCTATCCCGACAACACCGCCTGTCTCCGCTCTCTAAACCCCCTCATCAACCCGTGTCTCTTGTTCATCCTTCAGGGGGAGGAGGTCCTGAAGGGGCTGGGCTGACCACCTGAGACATACCCCCATCCTCAGTCTCCTCCCAGCCGTCACATCTATCCATCCGTCAATAATCTTTAGTGTATACCATCGTAATTTACCCAGTGGTGGATGAAGTACTCGTATAGTTGATGACTCTATTTTGTTACTGAAGTAAAAGTACAGATACAAAGGCAGAAAAGTACTCAAGTAGATTTCTTCATGTGATACTTTTACTTAAGTCAAACTCACTGTTTTGTGGACTATTTTTGGCTCTGAGGTCTAATTATTCAACAAAACTGAAAAAGTATGCACAAATTCACAATTCAAAAATTAATTATGATTTGGTTTACTCAATAGATAAATAATATTAATGGTCAAAATAAAATATCTCTCTCCATGGAGTATGTATTTTTTGACTTTTTACCCAAAAGTATGGATACTTTACACAAACAAGAAATGTGTTTAATTTGAGTCTATTTTTATGGAACTGAGGGTGTAATGAAGCAATAACTGGAGTCGGGTCTTTGCAACTGATTGTCCAACTGATTTTAGTCTTAGGATGTGGCAGGCCAAAGCAGGGCAGGAAGATTCATTGCCGTACATTCAAAATTGCATTTTTGGACACAATTAGTAAATCACAAAGACTGTAACTTTGGAAATACCTTCATTTCCTCCAGAAACAACATAATCTCCCATGTTATTCAGCTGTGGTTTAGGTCTGTTCTGAAATGTAATTACTCACTGCAAAAAACAATATGTAGGACACTTCAAATGACTTAAAAGATGAATATTTGACTTTATTTGAGTTTTTTTTTTTTTTTCATTTAAGCAAGAATCAAAGATGTATTTTCATATTTTCTCTTCAAAAAGTCTTGTTTCACTAGTAGATAATTTTTCTTGTCAAGTGAAATTGACTCAAATTATGATAAAACGTTCTTCATTCAAGTCATCTTCACTTGGCTAGAGTTGAGTTTTTGCAATGTTATATTAATTTGTCGGTTATTTTTCTTCCTTTATTTTTTTGTCAATTCTCATAAAACATACTCACAAATAATCACAGATTTATACTTTCTGAATGGGTAAGAACCAAAACCAAAAATGTAAACATCAACTTTTATGCATTGTGCAAACTGTGAATGTATTTTTTTATGAGAAAAAAATATAAAAAATCACAAGTCCACATTCCTCAAGGGTAGAATAGAGTTCCAGGGTCAACATCAGCAGTAAAGAATGTAGGTTACAGATGTTTATGGCAATGGTCAGGTCCTTTGGGTGGGGGGTGGTGGTGGTGCCCGACACTGTTAAAAACAAACACACGTCATGTTGGACTCATGAGGGAGCGGAGCACATGATGAGAAATACACTTTTCACATGTCATCAAGGTTTCTCCTCGTCATAACTTTACTCAGACATGTTTGGAGCGATTACAGCATGTGTAGAAAAAATGTAGTCTGGTCCGGATCCCTGAAAACTGTAGTTAGAGTAGAATAAAGGCCATTCATCACAACCAGAAGAAATTAAAATTATATACTTTAATGAAAGAAGCATAAAATCAGCTAAATAAAACTTTTTTTATTTTTATTGAGGGACGTCAGTATAACATGCTTAAAAGCTCATAAAAGTCAATTTGGCATAGTATGTGTCCTTTAAAAAATGAGAAAGCATGACTTCCCTTGGCACCTGAGAGGAAATTAGCCAGACTGGTGCCACCTAGTGCCTCTGCTCAATTGAATTTTGCTCCAGTGACTAGGTCAGGAATCGGAATACACTAGATGGTTTGCAAGAACCCCGGAAGTTGTAGAGCGAGCACCGGCCAATCAGCAACGAGCTGCGAAGCCATAACATCAAACTCAAGCGCCTGTCTGGGTCCATTTTGTGGAACGGCACAACAGTAAACAAAGTGGTCAAGATGGATGTAGACGGAGCCAGACATTCTGTGTTGGCAACGATTCCAGAGATCGAGGATTTAAAGCCAGAACAGAGAATGTTTGGTGAATTTTATCAAAGGGAAAGACGTTATTGCCCTTTTTCATACAGGATTTGGCGCTTTACATACGTCACATGCCCATCTACCACTGCGCAAACAAATCCTAATGCTGCGAGGTCAGACGGTTACCACGAAGTGAAACCGGCTGATAAACCAGGCTAAAAGGAAATGCCAGTGGCTAAAACATGCATGAACCAATGACAGTAGAACTCCTAATGAGTCAGTGAGGGAAAACCATAAAGGTTAAAGCTCATGAAAGTAGATTTTGCATTTGTGTCATGCTTAAAAAAAACAAAACAGTTATCAGACTCACCGGTCTCAGTCGAGGGGTGGACACACTTGGTGGACTGCTGCCTCTGTCAGGATCTAACCAAAGGCAGAAGGCAATTGTCACACAGGGCTGGAGTCACTCACTATGTTTACGTGTAACAGAGTGTGCTAAGCAACCTCATTCAAATCAAATTTGCCCCAAAATCATAAACCACTCTTGTCCCAGTCTACAGCAGGTTAAAGAGCCTAAAAGATGCAAAGGGGGTCCTACAAGATGCGCCGTCTATGTGTAGTAATTTAGCACTGGCACTAAATCTTTGCAGCTATAATTATTAATAACAACTGTCACGTATATACTCACACTTTTGGCAGACAGAGATAAGTGACACCTCATTTATGTTTATTTTGAGACATGCTACAGACAGTTACTCACAAGTTATTTGCTCTTTGTCGCACAAATAGACACACTGAAGCAGGTTTCACTTTTCACTTTAACGCTCCCAAACAATGAAACAACATGTGGAGGGACTGTAAACGTCCAAACACATGTCTAATATTTTACAGGCATTTTCTTACCGAGTGCAGTTAAACGCCTCTCCTAGTCTGAGTCTGAGTGTAATGTAAATGGAACTTTGAGGTTACATGCAGCAGGTTTCTGAATCTCCAGGTGTGTCATTGGAATCTTTGAGATTCAAACTGAGACACCTGAATCGAAATTCTGGGTTTATATGCATTTTGTATAGTTGGTTTAAATTGGGCTAGGTCAGTTCTCCGGTTTTCCTGGCCTAGATGTAAATGTAGTATGCACCTGAACAGTACAGCACTTACTTGCGTGTGGGTCCGGCTGCTCGGGTGGATCTGGTGTGTGCTGTATGTTTTCCGCTCCACCAGGGGGAGTACAGGCAGCGTCTGCACTCGGCTCTGGGCTCTGTGGGTGCAGGGCAGGAGGGGAACAGGAGGGCATTGTGGGAGTGGGTAAAGGCTGAGGGGACAAAAGGACATGTTAGGAGTGAGTCTTCCTAAAAACATAAATAACATCCCTGGAGTTGTTTGTTTCATTCAGTAGTCCTGCTGATGGAAGGACCAGTATGTAGCCTTTTGGGGCCAGAATTTCAATCCAGGTGCTAAACTGTGTATGCAAACAAAACAAAAAAGGAGTGTGAAATATGAAGGTGTGATTCTCTACAGGAAACAGCTTATTATTCCTGCTCAGGAGTTGGACAAAAAGTTAGGATCATAGAATGAATCTGAATTGTTAAATTAGTAAACTTAATTAAAAAAAAATACATAACTGTCTTCAAAAAGCTTAAGGATAGATGGCATGGTTGTATTTTTCGGACTATAAGATTGCTCTTTTTTCATGGTTTGGTTGGTCCTGCAACTTGTACATTAAAATTTTCACTCTGAGAGATGCGAGAGGCTCTAGTCTTGTGTGTCTGTATGCGCTGTTCCTATTACTCCTGTACCATTGTCACTTAGCTCTACTGCGCATGTCTCCTGCAGAAAAAGCCGCTGTCCTGCTGCAAGTAGTGAAATATACAGCTGAAAACGGTAACTTGTAAGGGACTGGCGGAAAGTGGGGATGGAGGACACAGCTTCATGGCAACCGGGGATGGTCTGCCACGCAACTTTCCTGGAAGCCATTGGATGAAAAACAAACAAAGCGTGGACTTCAATAACACCGAAACATCCTGTCAGGATTCAGGAAGGCTGGAATAATTCTAACTGGAACTGATGCTGAGTCTGACAACAGCTACGCAGAAGAGGAAGTGCCGCAGCCGTTTAACTGCGGAGGTCGCGGAGTTTGCTCAGAAGTGACACCAAGGATGAAGAATTCAATGGATTTACTGATTTGAAGTGAGATGGAGAGTTTGGTAAACTTGTTCTGTTCTGTTGTTTATGCTATAGTTATCTTAAGAACTGTTCATATGTGACGTTAACATACTAGATGCCTGTTCAGCCTGTTGTTACTAGAACTTGCCTTTCAAGATGAAATGTCGGTTCCTGGTCTCTGATTCTATAAAATAAATTTCCCCAAAAAGTGCGACTTATGTGTTTTGTTTTTTTTTTCTTATTCATTGAGCATTATTGGCTGGAGTGACTTATACTCTCGAGCAACTTACAGTCCAAAAAATATGGTAATTAAACCATCCAACATTATAATCTAACAGGTTTATATGAAGAGTCGATTGTGAATGTTGTCGAGCACAGGGGCCAGCAGATTGTCCACTTTACAGATGTCTGCATAGTGCTCTCATCAAACAGGGGCTTGGGGCTGATGGAAAAGTTTCAACACCCCAGAGCTGCAGTTTTGCACATTCATTCCATCCCACGTGCTAAATTTGTGTGGTGGTCTTTCAGAGACACAAACCAAAACTGCACCTGATTTTTGCATCACTTTAGAGTGCGTCATCCGTTTCATGTGTGCGTAAACTCATAGTAACTCTAGTCCTTACTGTTTTTAAAAAGGAACAACCACAACTGAACCTGGGTTGCCAGAGATGTCATTCAGGCAATTTCTTTGAACTTTTTTCGCACTGACGAGGCTGTTAATTCTAGACTTTGCATAACCACAGTGTTTTCCCCAGTTTAATCGCACAAGACTCACCTCCTGCTCCTCACCCTCCTCCTCTGCTTCATCCTCTAGGAGCTCCACCACCAGAGAGGGGAACAGTCCCACGTGTCCCTCTAGCGCCCCCTCCCAGAAACCATCGTCCACCTCAACACAGCACACCATCAACAACTGCACATACACTTAAACAGAGGCAACAGGTCACCACATTCAAGAACACTCACAAGTTTAAAGCTGAGCTGGAGGACAGGTTAGAATTTTATGGTGGAATTTACTGAGTTTAAATCAGGCATGTCCAAACTGTGGCTCGTAGGCCAAATGTGGCCCTCAGACAAATTTTTCTTGGCCCTCAGGCTTCCAGGTGAAATGGCCCAAATGACCTCGCATTAATTAAAAATACACTTCTTACTGCAAGTGTTTTTTGAAGATCTACATTGATAAAGCTAGTATTTAATATCTAGTGTGTGGTTTTAAGGATCTTTGCATGAGTCAAGCCTGATAGCTCATTCTAACGTGTTAAACATGCACATATTTCAATTATTCACTGTATTGAGCACCAGTCTACGGCCCTCGATCAGCCCTCTGCTTCATCTGTGTTTATATATGTGGCCCTTGATGAAAAAATGTTGGACACCCCTGGTTTAAAGGCTCATTTTTGCTCCAGATTTGCACGTAAACAGAACAACCCCCAGAGGGCGCACAAAGTCAGTTAGAGGGTTGACCAAAATGGATTAAATAGAACAACAAATAAAGATATATGGAAGCACCTGAATATTTGTTTTGTTTTTTTGCTTTGCAGCTGGTTCTAGTCTCTTTTAAAAAGTTTAGCTTCCACTGTTGGGCTGTGTTCACTACTGCCCCTAGTGGTCAACTCGTGTACAGCTTTGTTGCTAAAATTCCACATGTTCTGAGGACATTGACCAGATTACAGACCAGATTTATCGAATTACTGGGCCTATCCATATGACAGAACATTTGGCACAAAGTTCAACATTTTGTCAGAATTAATAAACAAATATCAACTTTTAAAAAAATATATATATAGCATCAGAAAGTGGTGCAAGACTCAATTGTTGAAAATTGAAACTGACTTTAAGCCTTAAGTTCCAGATTCACACAGGTTCAGTGATTCTCCCATAGAATTATATAAGCCCCTGCCCTCCAAATGAAATTCTGACATTATGGAAGTCTAGAAAGTGAACACAACCTATAAACATGCAGTACCTCTCCGTGTTTACAGCGAATAAGGTGGATGAGCGCCCCCTCTTGGAATGACAGCTCCTCTGGACTCTGTGCTTGGTAGGAGTAAAGAGCTCGGGCCAATCCTGAGAAATACGAATGAAAGGAAAAAAAATATATACAAAATGATGGAAAGCCAAAAGCACCTAGGCACCTGCACACAACCGTACACACCACTAGAGGGACCCAAAGACAAGGTGATAGATGTTTTCTAATATTCTAATACTACAATTTTAACACAGAGTACATAAAATTTACATTTGCAAAACAACTCACACAAAATCCTAAAGAGAACTGTGGTTTTCCTAAACAAAATTTAATCTCTCAAAATTCCCTCTGAAAATACATATAACAAGTACAGTCAGAGACAGCAACCGGGTCCCATGAGGCATCAGTGGGGTCAGTTCATTAACACAGAAGCAATTTATGAGGAGTCCAGCCCATATTACATGATCGTTATATCCACTATGCAATGTGTGTATCTGTACAGGCCCATGAACATTTGTGTGATATTGGTCACACATGAGAATGTCTGTGTTTACTAGTGTGTCACCAAAATGTCATTGTTCATGAGTTGTGTATATGTTAGTTGTGTGACTGTAGATCAGTGTGTTGTGTATCACCAGAAAAACAAGAAATGGAAATTATTTTCGTTCCAATTAGAATTTTAACGGCTACACTGAAAGAGAAAGGAACTGTTATAATTAGTGATTATCTCAAAAACCATTAATATTTTACAATAGAAATGCATACAGTTATAAATAGATAAAAAAAATAAAAAATTCTGAGATTTTGAGACCACTCCTGTTGCTCTAGCTCGATCCTTCGTGGAGTTATGACCAAAAACGCATATTTGCCTTTGATTACCTTGACCAAGTGCCCTTGACTGGTTTCAAACTGTGACATCCAGTGTACCCTGGTTATGTGTGTGCCATCTCGTGTGATGATTGGGTGAATATTTTAGCCGCAGATGGTTCAGAAATTGCCTAAATTGCCGAGCCTTTATAATGGTGTGACCTTTCAATGGACCCGTGTGACCTCAAAAGATCTGGGATCGTCACCAAACTTTTTTGCTGCATCAGGCACAGAAGTTTGTCCACCATACCAAATTTGGTGACAATCGGTCCATAAATGGCAGAATTATTACGGGTGGACAGACACACAAACACACAGGGTGAATATAAAATGTAAATAAAATAAGTATAGTAATAAGAAAATAAAATGTATTACAATCACAAATGAACTGTTGTCAAAGCCTCAACCTGCAGATAGACGACATATGAATTTGTCTCATTCTCAGTACATGGACAGACCTCATGTGAAAGCTCAGAACCTCCAGAATTCCCTCCCTGAGCTGCACAGGCTACACTAGCACTGATTCATGACTGGCTGCAGGAGCTGGGGTTTAGGTAGTGACCATTTTAGGTTTAAACCAACTGGATTTCAGCATTGAAGTAAGTTGATTCATATATGTCAGGCCTATTAAAGGGAATCGGAATCTCTCCAACCCCAGAACATAGCTTAGGTCTCCCTCAACAGTAGAATTTCCCTGCAAGAAGTGCATCTGATGGTACTTAAACTCTCTCAAATGATGTATCCTTGCATGTGTTTTCATAATCAGTTTCAAACATGCACAGGCAGGATAAAATTAGTTCAAAGAAAAAAAAAAAAGAAAAGGCTAGAGAGCACACAGTTATACCTGGACTGGCCCCTGACTCCCTGAGGCCGGTGGAGGAAGTGGAACTGTAAGAGGTGTCCGGGGGTGGGGTTCCCTCTGCTGGTAAACACAGGAACTGCACGTAGCGCACCGGCACGTAGCCCACCTGCCCACAGGAGTTGCAAACCTGACAGACATAAACAGACATTGAACTGTTAGACTGACACACATTTAGATGTGGCTCTGTGGTGGACCTACACTGAGACATGCCCCCTCTGTCAAAGGCCACAGTTTGAAGGGAATTGCGTCTCAATTCTCTTTCCTTGCTTCACTTGCTTTTATTCCTCTCCTTGTTCCTTGCTTCCTTCTTCTTTGCTCCTTCCTCTTCTGCTCCTCTGCATCTTTCTCTTCTGCTCCTCTGTTCCTCTTTCCTCTGCTCCTCTCCTTTTTCTCCTCTGCTTGTCTGCACCTCTTCCCTCTGCTCCTCTTTCCTCTCTTCCTCCCTCCTCTGCTTCACTCTCCTCTGCTCCTCTTTCCTTTGCTTCTCTCTCCTCTGCTCCTCTTTCTTCTCCTTTTTCTCCTTTGCTTCTCCCTCCTCTTCTCCTCTTTCCTCTGTTCCTCTTTCCTCTGCTTCTCTCTCCTTTGCTCCACTCGCCTCTGCTTCTTTCTCTTCTGCTCTTCTTTCCTCTCCTTTTTCTCCACTGCTTGTCAGCACCTTTTTCCTCTACTCCCTCTCTCTTCTGCTCCTCTCTTCTCTCTCTCCTCTCTCTGCTCATCTCTCTTCTTCTCTCTCTCTCTGCTCCTCTCTTCTCTCTCCTCTGCTCCTCTCTCCTCTCTGTTCTGCTCCTTTCTGTGTCTCCTCTGTGGCTGAGACTTCCTCACTTTTCAATGCAATCTGCATTTCCTGCAGAATCAAGGAGGAAACTCAAGGAGAAGGACACTGGGATAGAGAAATAGGAAATGTTCACAACAGGAACTTTTTAGAAATCCTCAGTGCTTCTGGAAGTTAGCTCTTTAAAATGTAACCCACAGTCTCTCTCCAAGCGCTGAACTGAGGAGTGTATTCTGGATTCCAGGAATGGGTTGAACTCAAAACAAGTACACTCATTGTAGTATTTGTTTTCATACCTGACAGTTTTGACTGCTCCCTAGCGGTCTTCCTCAGAGTGTTCATGTGATGTTGCTGTGACGTGTCCAATCAGCTGACAGCCCCATCTGCACACGTTTTCGTATTCAGTGCCCACGGGACTATAGACTGGGATGAGGGGGCTTTTTTACTCTCACACACCTGGGATACTGTCTTGAGGAAGTTGGACTGCAGATGGCGCTGACGTCCTGCCCCCACCGGTAGGAAGACAGTGCCAAAACCTGTATAAATCAGCTGACCAGACACATCAGAGCAACATCACGTGACCACTGTGAGGAAGAGCGCTAGGGAGTAGTCCAAACTGTCAGGTATGAAAACAAACTCTTGGTCTGAAAAAAGAACCTAATAACATAAATTATCGTAAGACCAAATGAACCTCATTGGACAAGTACACTCAACGACCACACAACTGAATCTCCCTTTATGAGTAGAACAGTGTGCGTATTCAAAGAGCCACTCTTCCACACGGTGCATCCCTCTGTACCTTTAACCAGTCCTCCATGTCTCCGTCTTCTAGCACCTGGAGTTCCTCTCCCTCCATCACAGACAGCTCGTCTGACTGACAGGCCTGCACAACACAACCAAACCAGAACACTTTTACAATGAATGTCCAATATGGAAATGAAAATCTCCAACTATCACCAGTGTACAGATCACACACATCATGTATTTCCAGAACTTAGAACCTGATGTGTGTCCTGATGTGGACATGACAATAATAATAAAAAAAAAAAAAACATATAAAGAAACAAGGAATTTTAAACAAGTGTTCGTGTTGAAAATGCTTTAGTTTGTTTAATTTATATGTTTAAAGTGCATGGTCATTTCACTAAAACATAGCAAACATGATTAGATTGAAGAGTTTATCAAAAGTCTTGTGTTCATAATTTAACTTCTTGGTTGAACATGGGCAGCAGCTATGACACACGTAGAGGTAATTCCTAACAGCGGTTACCTAGCAACCATAATGTCAACAAGGGTTAAATCTTGTCTAAATTACACTAAAACGTCACAAACCAGGAAAACTTTGGAAATGACAACTTCCGGTGAGCTCTATTTGCGGTAGTAAGTCTGAAAAAATCTAGGAAAAAAATAAGAAAATGGCTCAGTTTTCTTCATCTTAGGTTTTGTTCAGACTGCAGGGCTTAACGCTCAATTCGGACTTTTTTGTGAAATCCAGTGTTTTTGCGAGGTTGTTCACATTTCCAATTAAATGTGACTTGTATGTGATCTCCAGTCTGAACATAAAACAGCCCAAAGTGTCCCGCATGAGCACTGGAGGACACGATGACGTCAACCGCAGCGAGCGTGCTCTGTGTTTTCGGAAGTTGTCCAAACATGGACGCGAGCATTGAACACCTGGCGATTTTAAAGTTCCTCTCGTACCGGAGCCAGAACATGAACAACTTACTTGTTTTAAGGAGGAGATTGAGAAGGAAAAGGACGAGGTTTTTGGCCGTGGCGTTTTGTGGGGCAGCGGCAGCAACGTCTGTAGAAAGGAACGTGTGGATGCGGATACGTAGCCAAGAGTGGCGAGCGGCACGGACTTCATTAACAATTTTCGGCTACTTCAGCGCAGAATAGTTAGATATTTGTGGCTTGTTGATAATGTGTAGGTCAGATGAATGCACTTTGGCCGTTCAGACTGAAGTCGCATGTCAAAAGATCGGATATGTATCGGTTTTAGGAGCACATATCGAAGTGGCCTGGGTCGCATTTGAAAAAAATCGGATCTGTGTCGTTCAGACTGTCATTAAAAGATCAGATACAGGTCACATAGAGGCCAAAAAATCGGATTTGGGTCGCTTCAGGCTGCAGTATGAATGTAGCCTAAATGTCATTGTAGCGTTCCATTATGTTTGGGTAATCAACAATTCCAACCATACCTCAGTTTTCATCATTTCCCCACTGACGCACAACTCCGAGCGCACTGGGTACATGCCATTAGAAGAGATGAGGACGCCAAATTCCAGATGATTCCAAACAGCACATACGTCTGCAGTTTTCATTTTACAGTCGGTCGGCGAGCCCAGTGTCGGGAACTACACCGGAAGTTTTCATCGCATGTTTCCAAACGTCTTCCTGGTTTGTGACGCCTATAGTTACCAAGATGTCCCCGCTCTGGTCTTCTTCTGTCAGACCAAAGCTGGCACTATCAGTCAGCAGTAACATAAGGAGCATCTAGTGGTGATATGTGAGAATACAACAGGCCAGTCTAATTACAAATGGTAGCTTTAAACAGCCACAAAAACATTTTCTTTGCGTTTAAATTGTCCCTGCATTTTGGTCGATCAGGTGTATTTTTGTACTTTGCTTTTTAATTTTTGTTCAGACATTTACCACAGTTACTTTCCCACCAAACATATGCACTTTAATGTCATACTTAAATCAAAACTTTTACTTTTCTCTCCAGCCCCATCCCCATCGCGGGTACCTGGTAGCTGTAGAGGACTCTGCAGGAGGACGGGCAAACACAAAGAGCAGTAGAGGCGGCGGAGTCTACGAAAATGTCCGCCTCCTCCTCAAACTCCTCCAGGTCTGTCAACTCAAAGTCTTCCTCCTATAAACACAAGATACACATAATAAGCCATATTTAATTAAAGGTTCACTTCTCTCAAACTGAGAACACTCTGTTTGACTTTGTGATGTCATGTTGTAATACAGGAAGTGCTCCAATGTGTTTTTAAACTCCACACACCTTCACTAGATTCAATTGGGTCATTTCAGATCTGGAATTTCCAATCTCTACTGAACTGAAGTTAAAAGAAGCTGTTAACTTAAAAACTATCACTATGACATCAAAAGGTGGAACAGAGCATTTTGAGCTTTGGGGATGAAGACAGACAAATAATAAAAGGTCAGTCAAACGTGTGAATGAAAAAAAAACACAACTCCAGGTCTGTTTTTGATGTAAGAAAGAAAGCAAGTAAGAAAGTTTGGGAAACACTGAAATAGAAGTAAAATTCTCCCCCCTTTATGCCCTGTTGGATCAATATTGTGGTGTACTGTCAATAAAATGATCTATGTATGCAGTTAAAATACTAAAAAAAGTGAAAAGCAAACAGAAAAATAAAAAGTTTGAAAATATTTTTGAAAGCCACATATTGCCGTACTTGTTCATTCCCAGTGGACTTCCTGCTCTCGCTCAGCCTCCTCTCTTGCTCCAGCTCCAGGTGGGCGGTGTGCAGAGCCTGCTGCACACGGTCCTGTGTCCCGGGCACACTGTGGGACAGGAGCTGCAGACGGGCCTCTGCCTTCACCCTGCTCAGCTGACACACATGTAATCAATCCGGTTAGATTCAAAGTCCAACCCAGGTTTTCCCCCGTGCCACATGACATGTCACCACCCACTGCCCCGCCCACTCCACCCAATTATCCAATCACAATGAGGCAGACTGAGTATAAGAAGGTCCCTGACCTCTCATGCCACAGTTGTGTGGGAGAAAAGCCAGAGACAGAGTTTGATGGTCAGTGCAGCAAAACATTTAAAATGTATGTTCTCATGTCTCACTTGTGAACCTCACACTTCACATGACTCTTTTAGAACCAGACCTTTTGTTGGGACATTGTAATGTGTGCTTGGCATTTGAACTGGTACTGATAACTGATGCTAATGCTAACATGCTTATGCTAACATGAGTGTCAGTCATTTTGTTTGGTCCTGAGCTGGACAATGTATTTATAACTGTGCTAACTAGCATCAGCATGCTAACTGTTAGCACATGCTAACATGTGCTCCATGTGAGCTGTCATGATTCTGGGTTAGATTTTGATTATTGTATTGAACTGTTGTAATGTTTAATGCTAATGCTAACTTCTAATTAGCTAGGAGCAGTAAGCATAACAATGTTCTAAGAAGCCTTTTAATGTGTGCACAGGCCAGGTGCCCAAATACAGGGTCAAACCCAACGGAGAGCTAAAAGACGTCTCCGGTCTGGTCGGAGGCTAACAGCCTGTCCTCTCACTCTTCTACCTACACAAACTACACAAACTACTCAACTGTCTGACAATCTGTGCTTAATGGACGTTGCACCTTTCACAATAACTGATTACAGATCTCGATTTTACAGTGTTTGTTAAATCGAGATCTTTGAACCCTTCCACTTGAGGCAGGAACTCTCCACACACCTGTAGAAGGCAAGGAATTTTTGTTTCCAATCGAGAACCACAAGCTTGGATTTGGGGAGCAACACTGATCATTTTTTTCCCCCCCTCAGTTTAAACAATCGGCTCATTGTGTGATGGATTCTGATCATTTTCTGAATCTCTCTCCACTTTAGCTTTTATTTCTTGCTTGTCTCTTCAAGACAGCCTCATGGTGAATGGATGGCTGCTTGTACCTGAGTCTTCCTGAGGGTGTCCTGCACCTCTGTGATCTTCTGCTCCACACTGGCAGATGTTTCTCCAGACAGAAGCTTCAGACGGCTCTGCAGCACCTCCAGGGCCTGAAGACACAGCACACCACACTCTCTCTGCAAAGCTTCACCAACCTTTCCTGTTTGCCAGAGCCTTTCTAGCTTGCTTAGGCCTATTGCATTTTTCACTCAGAAGAAGGGCTTGACCCCGATAGTTCACATAGTGGTGATATTAAAATAATAAAACAGTGACAGCTCTAAAGAATTGCAGTGCAGATGTGTTTTTTTTGTTTTTTTCCTTCTAAAATGTTTCTTTGGACCCAGCACGCAGTCACAACTTTTATCAGATCTATCTACCAGTACTATAAAACTATACTTCATTTACCCACTAAATTCGGCAAATAATGCATAATAAAAACATAATAAAAACATTAAAAAAACATCATACGCACTTTCAGTAAACTTTAATTCAGTATATTCATCTCACATCTTGTATCAGGCCAAATTAAGAAAACTGTATGTTGTTATTGAAAGCTAGAAGTGTTTTTTTTTTACTTGAAACTAGTAAAATATAAAATTCAATCTAACACTCTTTTATCAAGTTATATATCCTGTAATTATGTGTACGAATGGAACATGAATGCACAAGGACTCCAGCTGGCCGTGCACTGTAGAGTTAAACCAGTGTAATCCCACATATATACAGGAGAGGTCCGTAATAAAAATCAAGACATTTCCTCTGTCGGAAGTCATTTTCAACCTGGAGGTACTGGTCTGAGGAGTTAGGTTAGTCCTGCCCTAGTTATACCCTGAAATTGTGAACAGTTGAACAAAGTCAAAACTGTTTCTGATGCGTGTGTCAATCAAAATACATCTCTAGGTAAGATAAATGTTAGAGATATACCATTAGGAAAAACTCTTTTTTTTTTTCATAATATAGCTGTTTCACTCTTGCCCAAACACCACTTCAAAATTCGGTCTAAATTGAGACAACCTCAGAACTTAAACCTGGACTATACCGGGACTACGACAGAATTCGAATGGGATCAAACCAAAGCAGCCATATGTTCCCTTATTTCTACGATTTTTTTTCTCAAAATTAGACTATAAATCAAGTCTTTTTTTTTTTTTTTAATACCGCATTCAAAGGGCCTCTACATTACATCTGTAGTCAACTGCTGCTGGATAATAGGTCAGGGCTAATTGATGACCAAATTGGGAGAAATGGGGATAAATTCTGATGCAATTTGATGATAAAGGAAATGTGGCTCAAACTATGCCCAAACCAGGACAAGTGTGAACTCACCCTATTTGACCAACAAAATCAAAAAAAAATTGGACATTACCCTCTCCCCGTGTGCGATGACCTTGTAATCTTTGGCTGCTTTGGAGGCCCATTTCTTCACCTCCCGCTGCAGACAGCTCTGGTCAGGAGAGCCGCTCAGGTCCTGGAGAACATACACCTGCAAGTACCGTACAAGTGTGAACTACTCCGAGACCAGTGCCAAATATAAAAGAAGGCCGTAAGATTTTGGAAAAAAAGTAAAAGAAATGCCAATGCGATGAGTTTTGTTTAAAGGGCCCATATTACCGTGTCTTCTGATCTGTTATGTTTCCTCATCAGAAACATACTTTGCTGTTGTGTTTTGTTTCACACACACACATTTAACACACAAACCCTTCATATTTAACAGGAGTTTTTCTCTCAAATGGAAAATTCACTATCCCACCTCGTGATGTCTTGTGGTAATATAGGAAGTGCGTGTGTTTTTAAACTCCACACACCTTCACTACAATCATTTGGATGATTTCAGCCTTGGAACTGTCTACTAAACAAATGGTGAAAGTTAGCTGTTCACTTGAAAACTACCCGTTCATGACATCATAAGGGGGGACATAGCATTTTGAGTTTGGGGATGTAGACAGACTAATAATAACACAACTCTGGGTATGTTATTGAGTAGGTGACCACATTCTAACATGACTAAAAGCTAACCGGAATCTATTTTATGCAATACACAACCTTTAAGAAGTAGGATTCTGGTCACAGTGCACATTGTAAACAACATTTGAGAGAAGTCTGAAATCTGAACTGCCCAATACAAGAATCCAATTAATTTCAGAACATGTTTGTAGAGGTCTAAACTACAAGATTTTCTACTAAAAAAGATGGAATATTATGTTTTTTGCAGGGAATATTTCATTAATTAAATAACCGCCAGCTCAAACTGCCTTTTTGTTTCAAGTGTGATATATTATGCATTGTAAAAGTTATTCAAAGATGGCTGAATGCAGATGCTATTGTTCCAGGGTGGAGACTAGAGAATGGCAGGGTACCTGATCTTTGGGAGCGGGCTGGAAGCTGAAGTTGGGGGGATTGCTGAAGGCGGAGGACTCCTGGAGAAACTGCTGGACACTCCGCTCTCTGGTCACCTGCAGAACATGAGTGCACACAAGGTTATGATCTTTTGGGCACTGGGTATTTGAACAACTTAAAACAATAAGCAATCAAAAAATCAAACTTTCAATTTCTAATCTATTCTTAAATTTTAAAATGTAATACAAAAATAGGGCTTTCAAATGAATAAGACAACAATGAGACACGACTCTATAATGTGGGAGAGAACAGATGTATATATGTAACATATATATATATATATATTAGGGGTGTAACAGTACATGTATTCATGCTGAACCGTTTCAGTACGGGATGTTTGGTTTGGTGCGTGGCTGTGCATGAGTGAGTTCACACAATTGTGGGTGTTTTTACATTCCGTCACTACATGTGCAGCTACACAGAAGGCTTGGCTCTTTAATATTCACGAGGGAATTCGTCCGTGATTGGGGTGGCAGTGTTTCCTGCAGTGCTTTATAGTTAGGGCGCCGCCTTGACAACAATTGCCCCCCTCCTTGACTACATCCCTTCGAACCAAATGAACCCTTGTAAAACTACAGTCTTTGCGCCCCGGTCCTCAAACAAAACGCAAATGGTTTTACATTTTGTTTCCATACTTTCCCGAAAATGAACCGAACCATGACCTCAAAACAGAGGTATGTACCGAACCGTGTCTTTTGTGTATGTGTGTGTTAACTACATAACTAAGTACTTTTTTCCACAATAATAATTCAATATCACATTTCAAGATAATGTAGTATAGCACTCAGTGTCTGTCAGCAGTGTTATATCTATTTCAGAAGTGTTACATCTATATGAGTAGGGATCATCATTTGAGAGTTTTTTTTGTTTAGTTTTTTTGTCCATGTGTTTATGTTTGGATTGGACACAAAAAGGGTTATAGCAGCCATTTTAAGCTGTGTTATACATTTATGTCACCAGTGTTACTTCCATCAGTATCTAAATGTGTGCTTACAGTGAGGGCGTACCTTGCGGAGCGTGTCCCAGATGTGGCTATGCTGTGAGTGAGTGGACGCACACGTGTCCAGCTCCGTCCCACACAGACGACTGAAGTGTCCCCTCAGCTCCTCGTACACACTGCCATCCATCTGCTGCACAGAACAACTTCACAACTTACTAAATACTTCCACTTACAAAAGCATACATTTATGATTAGGCAAAGTGCTTTGTGCTCAGTGTTGGGAAGGTTACTTTTAGAATGTAATCCCCTACAGATTACATATTAAACACACCCCAAAATGTAATTTGTAACGTAATCCATTAAATTACTTAAAGTGAGTAACGTAATCTGATTACTTTGGATTACTTGATATTGTCATGTTTTTTTAAACGACATGAATGTAGCAACCACATCCTCAAAATTCGTGTTTGTTGTCTTCAATTTGTCTGAGCCCAAGTCTCCATGAATAAGCAACTGTTTGCTGTAGAGAAACAAAGACCACGAGATCTTAATATAAGAGGTTTTGTCTGTTAAAAGACAGTAACAAGATCAGCCTTTCCTTCACCATATTAAAAAAATATTATTGATAGAGAAATTATATGAGATCACCTTAAATTATGTCAACCTACTGTTAGGTGTCATGTTGTTTAGTCCTGGTTTAGTCCTGGTTTAGTCCTGATTTTTAGACCTGGTCTAGACCAGGTCTTTAGTTCTGGTTTAGTCGTGGTTTAGTCCTAGTTTAAACCTGGTTCAGTCCTGCTTTAGTCCTGGTTTAGTCCTGGATTAGTCCTGGTTTAGTCCTGGTGTTAGTTCTGGTTTAGAGGCGCACAGGAGGAAGTGCGGTTTACGCGAGAAAACGCGGTCCACACGCGGCGCACGAGACGGCGGTGTCCGCGCAGTAACTACGGAAGGAGAAGTGGTCCGCGGGTTCTCAGGTTGATGACGATGATGAAGGTGTTTGTGTGTGTTTGTGTGTTTGTGTGTGTTTGTGTGTGTGTCCACTCATGTGGCAGGTCACTATAGGACAGTAGTGCAGATATTATGAGTCTATGCAGGTTGTTTTCACTAGTGCCAGTAGCTCCTGTTTCACATTTAAGTTGTAGGCGATTTTATATTTGTTTTTTTTATATATATATCTCACATCGGGAGAAGAATTTCCAAGACACAAATGCGTTTTTACCAATGCACTGCTGCTTCCACTGTGTGACTGACACCGCCAACTTTAACATGACGTTTCCATCGCTCTTACTGTCGCGTTCTGTTTGGGCTTCAGGCAATGAGTGAAATTACCGAAATAAAAAAAATAAATGGGATGTAGCACAAAATGTGAAAACAGGAAAATACCGCCTTGTAATCCACTTATTTCAGCAAAGTAACTGTAATCCAATTACCACTCATTGAAACAGTAACTGTAACGGAATACAGTTACTCATAATTTGTACTCTGATTACGTAACGGCAGTACATGTAATCCGTTACTCCCCAACACTGTTTGTGCTCAATGTTCAATGTAGAGGTCTGAGCCAGACTGAATTTTCAGTCTTGCTTCTGCAAAGAATTGTAATTTTCAGTTCCGCTCCCACTCGCAAGTCCCGCAAGATAGGGATGTTCGCTTTCTTAAGCTCTACGAAACACGGAGAAGCGGAAAGGAATTGTCTAAAATGTGCGCAAGATTAGACCACATACGCAAATTTAGGCTGCTTAAAATGTTTTTATTAAGGCCAAATAAAATATCCAGCACAAATTATGCATGATAGGCATACATGTATCATTTGTGTATTTTACTTTACACTCATATTTAGTTTGATCCCGCCCGAGCCTGCAATGAGCTTTCAAAATGGGTTGTGTCAGTTCAGGCGATTATTCTGTACTGAACTGTAGTAATTTGATGGTTTTGGCGGGGTTTTTACAAAGTATTGTACAAATGTGCAGGATCTGTAGTGAGTGCAGAGCGTGACTGACATCTGTGGTTGAGAAGAAGGCCCTAAACAAGCTCCTGTCCATCCTCAATAACCCTCAGCACCCCCTACACATCAGCGGACAGGAGAGCACCTCCTGACTGACGGGGGGTTGTTCCTGTCCTGCGCCACAAACACACTCTGGAAGTCATTTGTCCCACTCGCCATACACCTGTACAAAACAGCTCTGCAACTGATGAATGGAAGAGGACGGACTGCTGTGTTATTATGTTTGTTTCATCGTTGCTGCTGCTGCTGACATTTAAATTTCCCTCGGGATCAATAACCATATGCCGTCAATGAGCTAATTCCAACTGAATTAATGAATTACATCTGCCACTAACGGAACAAAACATTATAAAAACCCAAAACGGAATGCAAGTTCAGTTCTGTTACATCCATGTTAGTTCTGTAACATCCATATACAGTCGTCCCTCACTACAACACGGTTCACCTTTCACGGCCTCACTGTTTCGCAGATTTTTTTTTTTTTTGTGTGCAATTTTTCATACTTTTTTTTAGAGCATATCAACGTGAATTATGTTCCTCCTCCTGCGTCCTGATTGGCTAAGGGACTGTAAATCATTGTCAATCAATCCCCTCCGTGCCGTGTCTCCTGTACAGTACAGAATGTGTTCAGCTTGACAAATTTACATAAATGTTGGATCTCTAGCAGTGTGATTCTGAAGTGCTGCATGTTTGCAAGTTTTCTCCCCGACAAAACCCACAATGTTGACGAAATGTTCTACACCGACAAATGTAAAAGAACTGACATTACGTTACCTCTGTTTTAATTATCATTATCATTATTATTATTTGTTTCATTCATAAAGTATAAAAAGACATTAACAGTGTCACAACATCAAACATACAAGAAATGAATGAAAAGAAGCAGAAGAGTATCATAATCTTATGTTATCTGCCCCCTTTTCCAGACAGAACCATCAATGCCAATAGTCACTTTAAAACATTTCAGACCGGTACATTTCAGTTCAGTCACAACCAATCACATCATCTGCAAACAGAAATCTTCACTATTATGCACAACAGCTTAGTTTCCTTTTTCATACATACACATTGCACTGGATTTTATGTGTTTTTAATGCTATCATTGTACTTACTTCTTTCATATTTTTAATAAGACTGTTCAATAAATTATCTCCTTTCACAGTGATGCTTCACTCCATAACTTTGGTTCTGAATCTGTTTTTTTTTTTTAACCCTTATATTGTGTTAGGGTCAAAATTGACCCGTTTTCAAGTTTAGGTATGTAAAAACTGCCATTTGCTTTTTTGTACCGGAATGAGGCTTCATCTAATCCTCAGACACAACTATTTTAACGCAACAAAATCAATTTTCACCATTTTAGTAAATTGTAAAGGTCTGAAAAAAAAAAGTGACATCTGTGGTGTTACGGGTCAAAAATGACCCGGCAGAGAATAGTGGCTGTTTTATGCATCACTTACAAGCTGTAGGCTGCTCTGTGGATCAAATATGGCTCAGTGTGTCCCACAACACACACACACACACACACACACACAAAAAGGTCGTCTTCACCCACGTGAACTCTTCTCTTTCTTGCAGCACATTGATACATTTTGAATCTAAAATAAACATTGTCATATATAAACAGGGTTTTAGTGAGATATTATCAGCTGTATTCTGTTGCAGCATCAGTCAACATGAGCAGGTTCACTGTTTATGAAGCGCTGGATCAGATCTTTGGTCATGACAGTGATTCTGAAGACAGAGAGGAAAGTGAAGCTGAGGAAGATGTATCTGAGGATGAGGATGAGGACATAGACTGAATAAAAGAAGTGGACTAAGTGAGTGTGACGTCACCCACAGCGTTTGGCGCCGCTCAAATGAAGCTCACGGTTACAGGAGCGAATCTAGAGCCAGGTTATATGTTATGAATAGGATTTTTTGGACGGACAAAACAGCCAAAAATAAATAAAAAAATCTGGATCATGTGTCGCAGGTTAATATGTATATTTTAAGACCAAAATGACGAGGTTCACAGCAGCAGGTACAGAGAGAAGGACGACAAGATCCTAACATAAGTCAGGTGGAGCCAGAGTCAGAAGGAGCCGGAAGAGCCTCCTGGAGAACTTCCTATTTGGAACGCGGTGGCTACAGCGTTAGTTATGTCCATTCATATATACGTCTGTGGATGAGGATGAGGTTCAGTATGACCCTGAACAAGAGCACATGTGGTGAGGAGAACCCAGATGTCACAAAGACTGAAAGAGACGTCTTCAAGTCAAGAAAAAGTGGCAGTTCATGGTCACCAAGCCTCTTGACACCCAATATAATTATATTTATATAAATTAGATTTATATTATATGTATTATATATACAATTATTATGATTATAGTATAATTATATAATAATTACAAATTTTATCACTATAGGAAATATAATTAGTGAATATAAGCAGTTTTTGTAATCAAAAACGAGTGGTATATTTTAAGATAAAAGGTCTGTGCAGCCAAAAAAAAATAAAAAAATAAAAATGTTTCCATGGACATGAACACATACTAAGTTAGTTATGAGGGGAAAAACAATATTGGATGATATCTAGTGTTTTTAAGTATTTTCAGGCTGAGTTAAATCATGGGTCAAATTTGACCCGGTAACACTAAAGACGCGTGTAGCTTTCTAACACAATACAAGGGTTAAACATGTATGTAGGTTCCTTTTTAAATTGTACTGGTTTGTTCTCGTCTTTGAATATTTACAGGTAATACATTGCACTTTGCTTTACACGTGACTTTGAGGAGACTTAAGTCAGCAATATAATGCCATTTTCAACACTTCAAGTTGAACAGATAATGGGTAAGGACTGTTGGTGATCATTCTCAAAGCCCTGTTCTGTAGAATAAATAATGTTGTTACCTCCATGACTGCGGGCAGGTCGTGGCTGTAGTAGTGCTGCTGGTGAGCTTGTAGCGCTGCCAGGGTCAGCAGATACTCATTCCTCACTTCAGTCAAACGGTCGTCACACTCCTTCAGCCGGGTATTCACCTGGACAGAGGCTATTTCTATTAACTTAGTTGAATTAAAAACTAATGTTACGATAAAATTCTTAACTGGTGCTACCTTCGTGATCATCTTGTGTGATTTGAAATGAAAGAGGCCATGTTCGCTCTTTCTAGCTCTGGTATAAAAATGCATCAGTCATTTATGGAAGGTATACTAAACTTTAAAACTTGACTATGCATAAATGTGACAGATCTTCAGAGTGATTACCTGGCGTGTGCGTCTGCAGCCTTCTCTCTGGCCGTGTGAGCGATGAGACTGAGCTGGTGGTAGCTCTTCTTGATGCGCTGGAGCTCCCTCAGAGAGTCCAGGAGTTCTGCCTGGATCTTCTGCAGCTGCTCCATCCCCTGCACAGAGAAAAGGCTGAAAGACTAAACGTTTTCTAATGTAACAGGTCTTCAGCAAAATGACATAAATAAGCATTACTCAGGTGAGTTTTACCTGTACCTCCAGGCCTTAAACCATAGTTGAGTGCTCATTCATGTAAACTGTTTAAACTAAATTCTTGTTGTTAGACAGGAGTGTTTGTTTCCCTGCATTACATGTTTCAGCTGCTTCCTGTAGCCTTCCTCAGAAATCTCATGTGATGGTGTCCTGACATGTAGTGCCTTATAGCTTCTTTCATGATTTATTTATTTATTTATTATTATTAGGGGAAGCTTACACCCCCTGATGTCTTCTCGAGGACTGCATCCCACGTATGTTATAAAGTGTACGCTCCCTCATTCTGATTTAAGCTCCTTAGTCTTCTCTTTGAGATCTCAGTGGTCTCTGATCCAACAGTAGTATTTGTGAATGGATCAGAGAGCCCATCGAGATTGCAAACAGGGGTCCAAGGACCATAAATTGAAAAATGTGGCACTTCTGAGGTAGTCCACAGGAGGTAGCTGAAACTTGTGAAGAAGGTAAACAAATGCTCCTGTTTGACAAAAAAATATAAATAAATAAATAAAAAGTTCTGCTTAAACCTCCAGGCCTTAGTTTTCATGGACTTTGTGTAAATAAATATTGACAGTGAGAAAATTTGATAGCACAATGAAGAAGGATGTCTTTCTTAGTTCTTGTTAATGAGGGCAGCATTTGGGCACTGACCAGATCAGACGTCTTGATGAAGTCTATGGACATGTTTTATTTTATTTATTTATTTACCTATGAAAAGTACAATTTCTTGCTAAATTTACTTTCAAAAGTAAATATAACTACTGCCCTCTTCCAGAGGTGCTAATACTCTAGTCTGGGCTCACCTTCTTTGCATGATTGTCTTTGGAGCTGCGCAGACTTCTAGAAGTGTGCAGTGTCAGCGAGCGATATTCCTCTGAGGCTGAGAGTCGTGTTGAGGCCATCTGGGCTGTGGCATCTACTATGGCTCTCCAGACCCCAAACACACTGCTGGAACACAAAACCACCTTCACGTCAGAAACACAGAGAATTATTCAGGAACTATTTATTTATTTCTGTATTACAGATCAGGATTTACCTAGAAGAGATGGAGTCCGAGTTTGCTCTTTGCCAGTCCTTCTTCTGGTACTGCACGGCTAACCTCTGCAGAGCCTAGAAGCACTTTCACAGTCACTCAAACAGGCCTGACATGCCACTATGAATAACATGCCACTATATATAAATATACACACCACTTTCACTTTCATTTCGTAGTTCATTTTGGTAGGAAGTTGGTGTGTACAGCTGCTACCTTGCACCACTACATACTCTACAGCATTACTGCCATTTCTTTGTTAGGTTTAAGATTGTCATTTTGTGGTATGTGTCCATATGCAAGACGCAGTATACTAGTACCACGTCCTAGGATCCGAGCGGGGACGTCCACTGGTGGAGGGTTGGTGGTACAGTGTCTCATTTCAGTCCCAGTCCCATCTCCCCTCCTATGCAGTGGTATTTTTGCACACGCCTCACTCTGCATGATTTTGTTGCCCTTCAGGTTCATTTGGCTTGTGAGTGTGTGACTTCACAGAGCACAGTGAGCACCCTGCCCCTATGTCCCGCATTCAGCACTCTGTGTCCTGCTGTTGTTCTGTAGTACTTGTAGTACTTGTAGTTGTAATTGTAGTTGTCGTTATAGTAGTAGTAGTAGTTGTAGTAGATGTCGCTGTAGTAGTTGTTGTAATAGTAGTTGTCGTTGTAGTAGTTGTAGTAGTAGTTGTAATTGTAATAGTAGTTGTTGTTACAGTAGTAGTAGTTGTAGAAGTTGCCATTGTTGTAGTTGTTGTAATAGTAGTTGTCGTTATAGTAGTAGTAGTTGTAGTAGTTGCCGTTGTAGTAGTTGTTGTAATAGTAGTTGTCGTTGTAGTAGTTGTAGGAGTAGTTGTAATTGTAATAGTAGTTGTCGTAGTAGTAGTAGTTGTAGTAGTTGTCGTTGTAGTAGTTGTTGTAACAGTAGTTGTTGTTGTAGTAGTTGTAATAGTAGCTGTAGTTGTAGTAGTAGTAGTAGTTGTAATTGTAATAGTAGTTGTTGTTACAGTAGTAGTAGTTGTAGAAGTTGCCATTGTTGTAGTTGTTGTAATAGTAGTTGTTGTTGTAGTAGTTGTAGGAGTAGTTGTAATTGTAATAGTAGTTGTCGTAGTAGTTGTAGTAGTTGTCGTTGTAGTAGTTGTTGTAACAGTAGTTGTTGTTGTAGTAGTTGTAATAGTAGCTGTAGTTGTAGTAGTAGTAGTAGTTGTAATTGTAATAGTAGTTGTCGTAGTAGTTGTTGTTGTAGTAGCAGCAGTAGTAGTAGTAGTAGTTGCAGTAGTTGTGGTAGTAGTAGTAGTTGTAGTAGTAGTAGTAGTACTTGTAGTTGTTGTAGTAGTAGTTGTAGCAGTAGTAGTAGATGTAGCTGTAATAGTAGTAGTAGTAGTAGTAGTAGTAGTAGTAGTAGTAGTAGTTGAGGTTGTAGTAGTAGTAGTAGTAGTAGTAGTAGTGTAGCAGTAGTAGTAGATGTAGCTGTAATAATAGTAGTAGTAGTAGTAGTAGTAGTAGATGAGGTTGTAATAGTAGTAGTAGTATATTTTTGGTGTGGTATGTTTTATGTAAATCTCAGAGGAGTCCATTTTGCCTTATATAGATAGTATCTGAGTAAAACTGTAAACAAGTTTGACCTCTCTCTGTCTGCTCACACATCCCCCACCCCCACCTTCCCCTGACCCCCGCCCCCCGCTTTAGCCCTCACCGCCCCCACTCTCACGGGGCCCCCTCAATTGGCCCCGATCAATTGGCAGCCCTTCCAGGAAGCACCGCACAGGCACAGGGACCAGAATAACTCGTACCTGGGCGTAGTCTCTCTCTATGGCGGCCCGCTGCTTGGTGAACAACCTGAGAGGAGAGAAAAGGAGAGGCGCAATCAGATTTGGACACAAAACAGCATTTCAAATATAGCAAATCTCATGATCAATTATCACTTTAGGCACAACAGGAGAATACTGTAATCTGATTTTACTTCACTACATTTGAGAGCATGTATCTGTACTTTCTACTCCGCTACATTTTAAATTTGGACTGAAAAGTAAAAAGTACATTTCTTTATGCTTTGACACCTGCTGAAATGGCTGAGAATTTAATATGAGTTAATGTCCCAGCTTCGAGCAAACCAAATACACAAAAACAGTAAGTAAAATTAAGAAATCAATTGAATCAGTTAAAATCAGCTAAATTCTTGATCAAAATCACTTTATCAAAATCATTACATTTGATACTTGTATTTTTTTTTTACTCTTAAAGGACTTTTTAAACAAGTAGATTTTTTCATGTGCTACTTTTACTTCTATACGTGCATTCCGAATTTCAGACTTCCGGTCATCGTGCAATGCATACTGAGACTGCTGGGAAAATCAGGTGCCACAGTGGGGCACCAGTCGTAAAAACTGTAGTAGTAGTAGTAGTAGTAGTAGTAGTAGTAGTACCTGATCTCCTCCAGGAGCTCTGTGTCCTGCTGTAGTTTGCTCTGTAGTTTTGTGAGCTGGTCAGAGAAGAGCTGCTTGACCTGCTGGATTTCTTTAATCTGAGAAAGAAGAAAGTTCACATCAAATTCTGTTTTCCTCCAAGTAATGCAGATAACTGAAGGGTGAAGGGTGAAAGGGTAAACAATGTTATACTACTAAACTGAACGCTGAAGAACTATAAAGTTAAAAATGTCTGTATCTCATCAAATTATAGAATATTGTTGGATTTAACACAAAATGTGTTGGCTGACCACACAGATCCACTCTTTGAGATAATTAGCATTGTTATAATAAGTCACAGTTGAGGTCGTATCTGAAGTGAGCGTCCTCGGATCATGTTGGGAATCATCAGTTCGATCGGTGTTCCAAGACATTTTTTTCAAGTCAGAGATGGGATATATACTAGTTAACAGTTGCCTAGAACACACCATTAAATTTATGTCACCCCTGGATTATTATGTTAGAATTTGTATGACTCAATATGCAAATGACTCAAAATACACAATATTCATTTAAATTAATCTAAAATCAAATGAATCTTTAATAAAGAAATAAGTCTGCTGACTTCCGTGTTATAAGACTGTAGTGCTCAGTGGGAGCTGATGTCGCCATAAACATAATCTTAACAAAGAGTTGTGAAGTTGACAACTGATGGTTATCTGCACCTCGTAATATTCTAAAAGGTTCGCAAAAACCCCGGAAGTGCAAGTTCGGGCACCAGCCAATCAGCAAAGAGCCATACATTCTGTGTTGGCAACGATTCCCGAGATTGAGGATTTAAAGTCGGAACAAAGAGAATGTTTGGTGAATTTTATCAAAGGGAAAGATGTTATTGTCCTTCTTCCTATGGGATTTGGGAAAAGCTTAATATAGCAGTTAGCCCCGTTAGCGCCGCATTACATACATCATAACCAAATAGCAGCGATTGGTTAAATAAAAAAAGTACCCGCCTACTCTCGAGCAAACAAATTATAACGCTGCGAGTTCAGACTGTTTCTATGAATATGTTGTTGGTGCTGGGGTTAATCAGCAGAATGGTATATTGAAAACAAGCTCTTAAAGATGGCTCAAACATGCACGAAACACTCTAAATACAACCTGGCGAGGGTAAACGAGAAGGAGAAATGACTATAACATGGTAAAAAGCTCTAAAAAGTTGGCTAGATCAGTTTAAAAACCTGTTTGCATTGTGTCACTATGGTAACTCCTCCATACACTGCAAAAAAACAAAATCTAGTCAAGTTAAAATGACTTGAATTAAGAAAATTTTACAATGATTTGCAATTTCACTTGACAAGGAACATTATCTGCTAATGGAACAAGACTTTTTGTACTGAAAATATGAAAATACATCTTGCTGCACTTAAAATAAGAAAAACAACAACTTTTTTGCACTTAAAATAAGAAACAAAATTGACTGTTGCCTGAATTAAGAAAAACACACTTATTCCACTGGTAGATAATTTTACTTGTCAAGTTGAATCAACTCATATAAAGTAAAATTTTCTTAATTTAAGTCATTTTAACTTGCCTAGATAGTTTTTTTCCAGTGTAGACATTCTGCCACTTTCACCCCCAGCGTGATGTCGCTGTAAAGTTCATTTGGACTGCAGCTTCTACACGTCTGTTGGAATGTAGCCTGTAATTATTAACTGCATTCTATTGTGGCATGTGCATTTGGCAAATAGCAGAGTTGGGTAGAGTAGCCAAAAATTTGACTCATTTAAGAGTACACTTAAATAGATTAAACTTGACTTCAGTAAAATGATCCACCAGTGGAATAAGTCTGTGTTTTTCTTAATTCAAGCAACATTAGATTTAGTTTCTTATTTTAAATGCGAAGAGTTGTTATTTTTCTCATCATAAGTGGAACAAGATGTACTTTCATATTTTAAGTACAAAAAGTCTCAGATCATTTTACTCGTCAAGTGAAATTTACTCACATCATGACAAAACTTTATTCATTCAAGTCTCAAGTTAACTAGATTTGAGTTTTAGCAGCGTACTCTACTGATCCTTCAAAATAATACAATAAAATAAAACATAAAAAGTAGTGTTTAGATGCTGCATCTGATTTTTAACACATAAAAGCTAGTATTATTAGGAGAGACACAAGAATGAGACAAACGGTGTCAGGAGAGCTGCAAGAAACACAAATGTTCAAATCGTTTCTTATTCAAATGTCACATAAAACTTTTGTCACTTGTAGACAGAGGTGGGACCAAGTCGTTGTTTTGCAAGTCTCAAGTCTTTGACCTCAAGTCCGAGTCAAGTCCCAAATCAAATACAGACAAGTCGAAGTCGAGTCTCGAGTCACTGGCTCATAAGTCCAAGTCAAGTCCAAGTCGTCTGCTTTGAGCTTTCATTTCAAGTCTTTAAAACACCAGTACCAGATTTTTTGCAATCTATATCACATTTAAACTAAACTGTACTTAAAAAGTCATGGTATATTTGTATATGAGTTGTAGAAATGCAATTTTTTTCCTTTTGACTAGATCTTGTGTGGATCATTACGGTCAGAATAGAAAGAATTCAGATTGAAAGTGCTAAATAACAGTTATTTTGTTGTGTAATCTGCACTGAAATGGAAGGATCATGTTCTTTGTAGTCCTTGATTTACTGTATTGTACTGTATATTTCTGTATTGTATTGTACTGTATATTACTGTAGTACATTTGAGAATACCATATCAAAGTACTTCAGTTCCATCCAAAGTAGCAAACTGAGAAGTGAGAGGGACATGTTCCAGTTTGTTCCTGTAAAATTAAGCACCACATGGATCAACGGTAAAGAGAAAAGTATTAACTAAAAACATATTTTTAGGAGTAACATCGAGTCTTCTCAAGTCAGAGGCCTCAAGTCCGAGTAAGCTGCGAGTCCCAAATCTTAATCCATTTTATCAAGTCAAGTCTCAAGTCCCAAAAATAGTGACTTAAGTCTGACTCGAGTCCAAATCACAACTTGCAAATCCCACCTCTGCTTGTAGACTTACTCACAGTGGGAAGAGGAACCACAACTTTTACTCAGATAAGATTACTGTTACACTTACTCGAGTATGCAGTTCAAAAACTACAATGTGAAATCCATTAAAGCTCCAGTATTACACAAACCTGACAAAACTGTGAGCTGTGAGTCTTGTTAAAGTGTGTTGTTACCGCAAACACAAACAGGCCTGGAGTTGTGTTTTGTTTCATTCACACGTCTGAGTTATTCTTTATTCTTAATCTGTCGATATCCCCAAAGCTCAAAATGCTCCGTTCCACCTTGTGATGTCATGAAGTGGTAGTTTCCAAGTGAACAGCTCCTTTTACCTAGCCTGATTCATCCGCCAGTTTCACTTCGTAGAAACCGTCTGACCTTGCAGCATTAGAATTTGTTCGCTTGATGGTAAGCGGGTACTTTTTTTTTTATTTAACCAATCGCTGATATTTGGTCGTGACGTATGCAATGCGCCGCTAACGGGGTTAACTGCTATATTAAGCTTTTCCCAAATCCAGTAGGAAGAAGGGCAATAACGTCTTTCCCCTTGATAAAATTCACCAACTTTTTCTTTGTTCCGGCTTTAAATGCTCGAGCTTGTGAATCGTTGCCAACACAGAATACATGACTCTTCGCTGATTGGCTGGTGCCCGAACTTGCACTTCCGGGGTTTTTGCGAACCCTCTAGTGTACTCTGGTTCCTGATCTAGTCGCTGGAGAGAAATAAAATTGAGCGGAGGCACTAGGTGGCGCCAGCCTGACGACCTTTTACCTTGAGTTCAGTAGAGATTGGCGATTCCAGAGCTGAAATGATCCAAATGATTCTAGTGAAGGTGTGTGGTGTTTAAGAACACAGTGGAGCATATAACATGACAAAGTGGAACACCGTCAAATTGCTGTTGAAAATATATTTAAATCTGCTTTTTGCGGTTACGGTTTACCTAAAGATGTACGCAAGAAAGAAGGAAAGAAAGGGAAAATAGAAACGAAAGAGTAACTACCTTAGTGGGCGGCTGCATCCTCGCTCGTCCGCTCTGCTGGTGCTTTTGAACGACACTTCCTCTTTCTGTGTCTGCACTCCTTTCTCTCTCTGCCTCTCTCCTTTCTCTCTCGCCCTCTCACTTGCTCCCCCCCTCCTTTCTCTCTTTTCTCTCCTGTCTCTCTCTGTCGCTTTCCTTCTCTTTCTCTCCTCTCTCCCTGGTCTCGCTATCACTGTTCTTTGTTTTCTTTCCCTCTCTCTTCTCCTCTCCTCCCAGTCTCTCTATCACTCTCCTCCCTTCCTGGACTCTCTGTCACTCTCCTCTCTGTCTTTCTGTCTCACTGTCGCTCTCCTTCTCTCTCTCTCTCTCTCTCTTCTCCTCTCTATCTGGTCTCTATATCACACTCCTCTTTCTCTTTCCACTTCATCCCTCACTTGCTGTCTCCTTTCTCCTGTCTCTCTCTTTATTACTCTCCTTCTCTCCCTTTCTCTCTCTTCTCCTCTCCTTCTAGTTTCTCTATCACTCTCCTCTCTCTCTTCTTTCTCCACCTCCTCCCTCACTTGCTGTCCCTCCCTCTCTCTCCTCCTCCATGTCTCTCTCTCTTCCTTCTAGTCTCTCTCTTCTCCTCCTAGTCTCTCTATCACTCTCCTCTCTCTCTTTCTTTCCCCACCTCCTCCCTCACTTGCTGTCTCTCTCTCTCTCTTCTTCTCCCTAGTCTCTCTATCACTCTCCTCTCTCTCTTTCTCTCCTCACCTCATCCCTCACTCGCTGTCCCTGTCTCGCTCTCTCCCTCTCTCCTCTATCCCTGGTCTCACCATTACCCTCCTTCTCTCTCTTTCTCTCTCTCTTCTCCCCTCTTCCTAGTCTCTCTATCACTCTCCTCTCTCTCCACCTCCTCCCTCACTCATTGTCCCTCCCTCTCTCTCTCTCTTTCTCTCTCTCTCTCTCTCTCTGATGCTCTCCTTCTCTCCCTTTCCCCAGTCTTGCTCTTGCTCCTTCTCTCTTTTTCTCCATCTTCTCCTCTCCTCCTGGTCTCTCTATCACTCTCCTCTCTCTCTTTCCCGTTCCACTTCCTCCCTCTCCCTCCCTCTCTCTCTCTCTCTCTCTCCGTTCTCCTCTGTCTCTCTCCTTCTTCCTCTCTTTCCCCGAATTGCTATAATCCTCTTTCTCTCTCTTTGTCTCCTCCTCTCCTCCTAGTCTCTCTATCACTCTCCTCTCTTTCCTCTTTTCTCAGCCCTTCTATCACTCCTTTCTATCCTCTCTTTGTTTTTGTTTTTTTTTTGTTTTTTTTTGGTGTAATCTAGGACCTTTTTAATCCAGTAGTAAGGTTGCAGATTCGACTCCCATTTTTCAGTGATTTATTAAAAGATTAAAACATATTTTCCAAAAAAAAAAAAAAAAGATTATAAATAAAATAAATAAATAAATAAATACAGTGCACATTTCAAAACAATATTGCATAAATAAAACATGATTTGATGTCATAAATATTAAATAAATCGGCTAATAAGAAAAGCGTTTACATGAGTTAAAATGCCGACGAATATTGTTTGAAGAGATTTTGACTCAAAGCAAACAACATCTGCTAATGTGAGCTGTAGTAAAAAAATAAAAATAAATAAATAAAATAAAATAAATAAATAAATAATACTTGGATGGATGCTACTAATGGCCCTGCTGTGCAATTTCGCTTCGGAATTTCCCCATATCATTCTTCAAATTGCTGAAGAAGGCCTGAGGAGAGACGCTGGACAGGCAGCTCTGAGACTCAAAACCGGTATAGCTCTGAAAAAGAAATGAAAAATATATCATCAAACTGCAAATAAATAAATTCTCATTAGTAGTTTGCACAAAATAAAACATTCAAGCTCTCATATTACGCTATTTTCTGATCTATGTTCTGATCAATGTTTCCTCGGGATGTAACAATAACTGAAATATAGTGATATCGTACAGTCAGAGCTCTCACAATAATATCATGGACCATCAGAATTTATCAAATTACAAGTCTCTGCAAGTTATGGTGCAGTAATAGCTAAAAAAAAAAAAAAAGACATAGGGAACTACATAGACCATGATCCTTTGCTCCATTTCAGTGCAGACTACATGAAGAAATAACAGTTCAAGTCTTGTCAAGGCATTTTAAGAGGAAAAAGTTGAATATAAACAGTTTTAGCTGTTTTGCCTCCACAAAATATCGCAATAAATATCGTACAGTGAGATGTATATCGGGAGCTTTGCCACGATATCGCAAGAGATATCGTATAGTGAGACTTGGATTTCACCGCTAATGTTTCCTCATCACAAACACGAACTGGAGTTGTGTTTTGTTTCATTCACACGTGTTTAACGCAAAAACCCTGCGTATTTAGACTGAGCTCTTCTCTCAAAAAGGAAAAACGCTCTGTTCCACCTTGTGACGTCATGCGTGTTATGCATTTCAGCCCTGGAATTGCGACTACACCAGGACTAAACCAGGATTACTCCAGGACTAAACCAGGACTACACCAGGACTAAACCAGGACTACTCCAGGACTAAACCAGGACTACACCAGGATTACTCCAGGACTAAACCAGGACTACACCAGGACTAAACCAGGACTACACCAGGACTAACCAGGACTAAATCAGGACTGAACCAGGACTAAACCAGGACTACACCAGGATTACTCCAGGACTAAAGCAGGACTACACCAGGACTAAACCAGGACTACACCAGGACTACACCAGGATTACTCCAGGACTAAACCAGGACTACACCAGGACTAAACCAGGACTACACCAGGACTAAACCAGGACTAAACCAGGACTACACCAGGATTACTCCAGGACTAAACCAGGACTACACCAGGACTAAACCAGGACTACACCAGGACTAAACCAGGACTAAATCAGGACTGAACCAGGACTAAACCAGGACTACACCAGGATTACTCCAGGACTAAAGCAGGACTACACCAGGACTAACAGGACTACACCAGGACTACAGGACCAGGACTAAACCAGGACTACACCAGGACTAAAGGACTAAACAGGACTAAAGGACTACAGGACTCAGACTAAGACTAACTACAGGACTAAGGACTACAGGACCAGGACTCAGGACTAAACAGGACTACACCAGGACTAAACCAGGACTACACCAGGACTAACCAGGACTAAAGGAACAGGACTAAACCAGGACTACACCAGGACTAAACCAGGACTAACCAGGACTAACCAGGACTAAAGGACTAGGACTACAGGACTAACCAGGACTAAACCAGGACTACACCAGGATTACTCCAGGACTAAACCAGGACTAAATCAGGACTAAACCAGGACTAAACCAGGACTAATCTTGGACTCAAGAGAAGAGAACCCTCCCTGAGCCCGTGGAGCAAGGTGTCCGCAAAGCTGTATCGGGCGACGGCTTCCATGGGGCGCAGAGATCTGCACCGGTCCTTTCGCCCGCGGTCACCCGACAGTCTACGCTGGCGCAACTTCGAGCCTGTCCCGATAGTGAGTCCTGTTTTAGTCCTGGTTTAGTCCTGGTTCAGTCCTGGTTTAGTCCTCCTGGTTAAGCCCTAGAGTTAGTCCTAGTTTGGTCCTGGTTTAGTCCTGGTTCAGTATGTGCGGCATCACGATCAATGTTTCTTCTGCTCAGTAAATAAAGCCTGTGAGGTGATGACAGTCGAGTCACGTCTGAATGAATTAATATTCGTACTGAAGAAAGTGTAACCGTTTCATTTCATTTCGTGATTGTAATTCTTGAAATCATAACTTTTCAACTCGTATTCTAATAGATGCTTCAGTTAGAATGCTTTTAATTTGTGTGCGATTTATCACGGGCACGGGTGGGCAACAGGTGGAATATTAACATGTCTGGGCGGATGTTGGTCAAAAATGAACCCATGCAGGACTCTGACACTCTCCAAAACTGCTTGGGGTAAAAAAAAAAAAAAAAAAAGAAATATTATGAGACGTACTTTGCAGTTCTTTTGCACTCTGGTGAGTGTTATGATGGTCCCGTTGATTACAGCTGAACTCTCCGGCATCGTGAGGCTCAAAGCCCTCAGAGCGGAGATGTGGTACTCCGGGAACACACAGCTCTGCCCCAAAAAACACAACAACAGGGTTAGAAAGGCACCATTTCTCCCACATAGTCTCAATGGAGTCCAAATCATCAAAGTCTGAGTCGAGATTTGTACTCTGTAACGTGTAAGCGACGTCTTTTCCTCAATTCCAGGTGTTATTGCACAAAAACCCTTCAAAAATCATACATCCTTACTGTAAGCAGGGCCACCTCTCCACAGACCTGACCTGTAACTTTGCTTCCTAACATCGCGGGGAGAGTGGGGTTTAAATTTTCAGATTCTTGAATGTCCCAGATGGGGAGCAAGAGCAAGTTTTCCCTTTTGATTATGTTGTACTTTTCCATAAAATATCCAAATTGTGACTTGTATGACAAAAAATCAGCATGGAAAAAAACTATAAATGAGTAAAATTAAGAACATTTTACTTTATTTGAGTAGATTCAACTTGACAAGTAAAATTATGTACCGATGGAATAAGTGTATTTTTCTTAATTCAAGTAACATTCGATTTTGTTTCTTATTTTAACCCTCTAGGCGCCACTGTTGACTTAAGTTGACAAGATGCTGCTTTTATTCAAGCTAAACCAGGTCTAAACCAGGTCTGGACCAGGACTAAACCAGGTCTAAACCAGGTCTGAACCAGGACTAAACCAGGTCTGAACCAGGACTCAACCAGGATGAAAATAGGACTAAACCAGGACTGAACAGGACTGAACCAGGTCTAAACCAGGACTGAACCAGAACTAAACCAGGACTAAACCAGGACTGAACCAGGACTGAACCAGGTCTAAACCAGGTCTGAACCAGGACTCAACCAGGATGAAAATAGGACTAAACCAGGACTGAACAGGACTGAACCAGGACTAAACCAGGACTAAACCAGAACTGAACCAGGTCTAAACCAGGACTGAACCAGGTCTAAACCAGGACTAAACCAGAACTAAACCAGGACTAAACCAGGACTGAACCAGGACAAAACCAAGTCTAAACCAGGACTAAACTAAGATGTCAAAATTGAAAGTTTTGGGAAAAAACCTCTGGCACCTAAAGGGTTAAGAGCAAAAAGTTGTTGTTTTTCTTATTTTAAGTTTCTTATTTTAAGATGTATTTTCACATTTTAAGTACAAAAAGTTTTATTCCACTGGCAGATAATTTTACTTGTCAAGTGAAATTTACTCAAATCATATTAAAACTTTCTTAATTCAAGCCATCTTAACTTGACTAGATATAGTTTTTTTGTAGCATTAACAATATTAATTATAGATTCCCCCGTCTGCCACAAAAATCTAAATTTTAACTATATTCATTTTAGCAGCCCCCGCATTTGCAATAAAAAAGGCAATAATTGTCCAATAGAATGTTGTAATGCCATCTGAAACCCTGCAATAGCCTTCTTGAACTTAAAGATGGATTGTGTAACTTTCCCGGAGAGAGTCCACAACCTGTTTGTCTCCATGGAGATGTTGATGCTTTAGTTTAAATTGTCCACATTATGGTATTGAACTAAACCACCTTG